GATCTGCAGGGTGGCCTTGGGTCGGCAGGAGGAATCTTGTTTCAGCGAGGTTGTCTAATGGGTCACACAGCAGCAGCGTTCTCAGACCACGTCTCGGTGTCCAGCACAAGCGCTAGCACTCAGTCATGAGTCTCTCCTAGATTCCTTCCTCTCAGGTGTTTTTCTTGCTCTGGATTCTGTTTTTTTTTTTTTAATTTTTATTGAAATCACCGTGAGAAAGTTACACGTTTTCATGTTTGGGTTACAATCACACAATGATCAAACACTCATCCCTCCACCAGTGCACATTCCCCACCACCAATATCCCCGGTATATCCCCCCCTCCCAACCCTCCCCCCGCCTCCATGGCAGACAATATTCCCCATACTCTCTCTCCACTTTTGGGAATTATGGTTTGCAATACAGATCCTGAGAGGTCATCATGTTTGGTTCAATATCTATTTTCGGCACACATCTCCCATCCCGGCTGATTCCTCCACCCATCATTTTCTTAGTGACCCCTTCTCTATTCCATCTGCCTTCTCCCCTCTACTCATGAGACAGGCTTCTAGCTATAGGGCAATCCTGGATTCTGTTCTTACATGGTTTTTTTTTTTTTTGGCGGGGGGAGGGAGCACACCTGGAAGTTCTCCAGGCTACTCCTGCCTTGCGCAGTTGGTGGTGTGTGTGTGTGTGGGGGGGGGGGGGGGAGAGGAGTAGGTTCACACCTGGCCTCCTGCACACACACAAAGCATGCAGCCTGTTGAGTTCTCCCATGGGCCCTCTGTGTGCTTTACATCATCCCTAACATGGTTACTGTTCACGGTCAATCTTCGCCAACCAAGATTCCCCTCTCTAGAAGTCAGTTTCTTCATCCATTTTATCCAAGTGTCCCAGAATCACCATGCAAAGTCCACACCTGCTGTACCTCAGGCCACCATCAGGGGCCACCGAGTGCCAAGGAAGCTTGGGTGGCACAAGGCTGCCTAACACTTCCCATGGCGTCCTAAGAGCCAGACGTCCCAGTCATCTTCAGTGCCCTCCGAAAGGCAAGAGTCGGGAGACAGGGACATCTTCCGCTGATTCCATAGCTGAGGAAGTGGGGCAAGCCTGCTGAGTTTCCTTAATCTCCTAAAGGGATGGTCTAGGAAAGACAGAGGCACTTCTCAAGTTCTTGATAATTAAACTGGGTCACACAGGAGACCTCAGCTTCTCAGTACTGGCTTAAAGCAAGCTCTGCTCAGGGTGGGGCAGGCTGGCCGTGCTCCCCATTGCGGAGCCGCTCTTTGTCTTTGGGGGGTGAGAAGACAATTTCCTTGGCCCAAAAGAAAAGGAAAGGGCTGGAGTGATAGCACAGTGGGTAGGGCGTTTGCCTGGCACACAGCCAACCCGGGTTCAATTCCCAGCATCCCATATGGTCCCCTGAGCACCGCCACGAGTAATTCCTGAGTACAGAGTCAGGAGTAACCTCTGTGCATTGCCAGGTGTGATGCAAAAAAGAAGGAAGGAAAGAAAGAAAGAAAGAAAGAAAGAAAGAAAGAAAGGAAGGAAGGAAGGAAAGAAGGAAAAAAAAGATGGCGGAGTAGGATTATAACTCAGTGAAGAGTCCAGGATAACAGGACATTGCACCCCCCTCCCCCACCTTCTCCACTGGGAGGCCAAGAATTCATTGTCAGCTTCTTCTAGCCCTAATTTTTCCTGCTTTTTCATGAATTCATTGAGAAGACTTAGAGAGCAGCTTGCTGGCAGGTATGAGAACCTGTGTTTGACCACCCAAAAGAAGGAAACACCCAGTTCCACCCATGCAGGAAGGAGGTCATCTCTGGGTGACCCTCTGTCTCTTCATTCCCTCCCTTCAAAGTCCATCACCTCCCCTCACCCCGTCATTCCTGCCCCTTTCCCAGCACCTGTCAACAGAGTCTGACAAGGCTGTGGAGGGGGGGGACCCACAGGCTCTTTTGTTCTCATTGGTCTGTAAGTCCTCACAGCTGATTGTTTGTCTTTCAGATTTCTGGTGCTCAGGTCTTGTGCTTGCAAAAAGCAGCCTACTCAGCACTGGAGGGTGTAAATCTCTCTGGGCCTGACACCTGGCCGTAAGTTGTTGGAGAAATCACCAGAGCAGCTGCCAGAGGCACTGGTGACAATCTGCAGATGCAGTTCACAGCCCCGGCGTGAGTCTAAACACTGCCAAGGAGCTGGACAGCCCTGGGGCGCACCTCGAGCAAGACTCACAGGGTATGAACTCCTGGCTGGCATTTCGGGGCAAGTCTACAGATCAGAACCCTCCCCACCCCCACCCCCCCAAAAAAAGCATCTTTCTCACCTCCTAGGACTGACTGGGTAACTTTCCTCAGAAACGTAGGTGAACCCAGAGTTAGGGCGAGATGGCCCTGACTGGCCTCCGGCTAGAGCCAGACTTCCTTTGGTCTTAAGGGCTCAGAAGTGGAGCCTTAGCCAAGAAACTGTCCAACACACCAGACACCAGACTCCTCACACTGCTTGGGGCCGAAAGGGGGAAGTCAGCTCTGGTATGCAAACATCCTGAGAAATAAAACCTGGGCTCCCAGAGAAAAGGAAGGACCTAGGCCAGGTCCAAGTCACAGCGAACAGCCATATGTGGAAATCCACTGAGGGTAACCTTTGGGTACATCAAAGTTTTATAACTCTGGGGCCCCTGAACCTAGCCAACGCATTGTGTACTGCTGTCATACAGCATATTAAACATTTGATGATTTACTGGGTATCTCGTAAATCAGCCCCGACTATGGTCTTGGCTCAGGGAGTTTAACTAAGAACCCAGAAGATGATCTAATGATTTCCATAGACCTCTTCTTTCCATCAGGAAACCTGATATCTCATAAGCTTCATTAAAACTGAACTGAAGGGCTGGAGCGATAGCACAGCAGGTAGGGCATTTGCCTTGCACACCGCTGACCCGGGTTCAATTCCCAGCATCCCATATGGTCCCCTGAGCACCGCCAGGGGTAATTCCTGAGTGCAGAGCCAGGAGTAACCCCTGTGCATTGCCGAGTGTGATCCAAAAAGAAAAAAAAATCTGAACTGAGAGGGTTAAAGGGAGGAGATAATCAACTGGCTTTCACTGGAACTCTGACTTCAAGAGGACAATAATGTAGCATTTCTGAACCCCAGAAAAGGGGGTGGTAAGGTCGAGGTTATAAAAAAGATGGGAAATGCCACGGTATATTTATAACCCAAGACATCTGACCAACATAAACAATGCTCTGTCACAGACACACACAAACCGGGAGAATAGCTCGGCTCTGGCTCCCATGGCAGTGGGTAGTGGGCAGCCCTGCGTCTGGGCATGGTCCCAGGGTGTGAGTTGCATCTGCCCCAGCCCCAGGCACAGAGGACCCAGTCCCGCCCCCACACACCACTGGGTGCTGCTGGACCCAGATTTTGCCACTCACTGGGAACGGGAACCCCAGCGTTCAGGGAAGGGGTCGGGGGCAGCCTTGTCAGAGGCTCAGGCTTGCTCTTCTTCACGCAAACAGACTTTTCGTTATTTGTTTCATAGACTCAGGAAGAAATGGGGAAGGATTAGCGCAAATTTATAGCGTCTGTCAAAGGTCAGCTCTCAAAGTGAAAGGGAATTACGAAAAGAAAACAAATGGAGAGCAAGGAGGGCGACCAGGAACTGCCTCCCGTTCTATTTATTCATTTGTTTTTCAAAGGAACAGCAATAGTCGGCTCTAATGGCTCCTCTCCCATTGAACTACCCAGTCCCCCCTTCACCCCGAAAATCTGGCTGCTGTGAGGTAGATCAGAGCTATCCTGCCTCTAAGGTGAGGGCGGTGGGGCGGTGGGGCTTAGCGGGTCCACAGTGGGGAGGTCACCGACAAAGGTCCAAACTCGCATCAGTTTTTTTTGTTTGTTTGTTTTTTGCTTTTGGGGTCACCCCTGGCAATGCACAGGGTTTAATTCTGGTTCTGCACTCAGGAATCACCCCTGGCGGTGCTCAGGGGACCATACGGGATGCTGGGAATCGAACCTGGGTCGGCCGCATGCAAGGCAAACGCCCTACCCGCTATGCTATTGCTTCAGCCCCAGTTTTGAGCCTCATCCCCAGAGCACAGAGAACATCCAGTGGTCCGACAGGGTCTGGGCAGGGAAAGCAAAAGACCTGAAATGCCATCTTTGTGCCAAAGACAGTGAGCCAAGTGACGCTGCCCCACCAAAGCTGCCTGGCTGCTCCATGAGCAGGTAGGCACGGCAGGACCCGCTGAGGTAGTGGCCACATCCGGGCCAGGAGTCCAGACGCTCTCGGACACCGAGACAGAGAGAGGCTGTGGATGCCGGCTGGGCACAGGACAGTCCTGCTCCCCCAGAAATCTCCAGGGGCCCAGCCGGCAGGTTCTGATGGGCAGTTTCCCAGAAACTCCACAGGGCGCGTTCTGAACGGAGGCCAGAGGTTCTCCAAAGATTCTGGATCAACGGACTTTATGTTTCTTGTCCTTGAAGGTCACGAAGTTTCCCAGGAAACTCTATGGGAGAAAAAGGGAGGTAACGTTTCTCGGGTTGAGGAGGCAGAAGGTGGGCACAGGGGCACTAGAGGGGAGCAGAGGAGGTGGAGACCCGCCAGACGGGACCTTCTGCGATTGCAGAAAAGCATTCAGCACCCTTCAGCCACAAACGCCCACTCCCATCTCCTACCCGGCCTTCCTGCCACCAGAGGCAAAAACTGGTCCTCAAGTTCCCAAAGAACGTCCCTTCCTGAGCTAGCAAACCCGGGGCGGAGGCCCAGGGCTGCTCTGCTAGTGGGACCCAGCCACGAGCGCAGGAGGAACCGTGGCCCGCGCAGACCCTCGGAGGACAGCCGCCCAGCCGCGGTGCGCGCCCGGGTGCGGGGGACAAAGTCACCCGGGCTGGGGCCCCCGGTTCCGTGTTGGTTCCCTTCTCTCTGGCGTCGCAGAGACCCGCCCTGGCCTCCCTTGTCCCTGCCGAACCCCCAGCCCGAAAGCCGGCCCCAGCAGCCGCCGAGTCCCGGATCCCTCCGTTACCTACCGGTCCGCGGAGGCCGGGCGCGGCCCCGCCGCGGCGGGCAGGGGGCGGCCCGAGGGGGCGTCGGGGCGCCCGCCGCGGCACAGCAGGCGGCGGAAAGCGCTGCGGAAGTCGCGGCTGCGGCAGTAGATGAGCGGGTTGAAGGCCGAGTTGGCGTAGCCCAGCCAGTTCAGGGCGAGGAACACCGAGCCGGGCACGAGCGCGGGGCCCCCGAGGGCGCGCACCACGTTGGCCACGAAGAAGGGCAGCCAGCAGAGCGTGAAGGTGCCCATGATGAGGCCCAGCGTGCGCAGGGCGCGGTGCTCCCGCAGCGGCACGGGGGGCGCGGGGGGCCCCTCGGGAAAGCGACCCAGCTCCCCGCGCAGCTGGCGCCGCTGGCGCCGGGCCACGGCGAAGACGCGCGCGTAGACGAAGAGCATCACGAGCAGCGGCAGGTAGAAGGACACGGAGGAGGACAGCAGCGCGTAGGGCACGTTGGAGGCGAAGGCGCAGCAGCGCGGGTCCGAGTGGCAGCGCTGCGCCTCGGCGTCCGTGCCCACGCGCCACCACTGGCTCATGATGGGCGCGAAGGACACGGCAGCCGACACCGCCCACACCAGTGCCACGGCCGCGCGCGCGCGCCGTTTGGTGACCAGGACGCCGTAGCGCAGCGGGCTGGTGACCGCCAGGTAGCGGTCCACGGCCAGGGCGCACAGCGTCTCGATGCTGGCCGTCACGCACAGCACGTCCACCGATGTCCACAGCTCGCAGCTCGTGGCGCCCAGGGGCCAGTGGCCGGTCAGCGCCAGGCTGGCCCCCGGCGGCACCACCAGGAGCCCCACCACCAGGTCGGCCGCCGCCAGCGAAGTCACGAACACGTTGGTGATGGTCTGCAGTCGCGGCGTCCGCGCGATGGCCACGATGACCAGCAGGTTGCCGCCCACGGTGACCAGCGCCAGCAGCGCCCCCGCCAGTGCCAAGGCGCGCGGCGCCCCCGGCAGCCCACTCGAGTTGGCGGCCCCGGGCGCCAGGGTGGGCGCGTGGGACCCCCAGGCTGCAGAGCCGTTCCCGTGGGGGCGCGGGGGGCTGAGGGCCGTGGGAGCGACGCCCCCGGCCCCGGCCATCGCCCGCGGCTGGAGCTGACCCGGAGCGGGCACCCCCGCCGCCGCCCCCAACTCCCCCTGCGAGTGACGGTCCTTAAAGGCGCAGTGGCCAATCGCCGCTGCGGGCGGGGAGGACGGTGGGGTGGGCGCTCCGAGGACGCTGGGGCGCGCGGCCCCCCGGGCTCCCAGATTCCCTGAAGGTCCCGCAGCGGCTCCCCGCGAGGCGCAGGGAAGCTCGAACACTCACTTTCCTGCGGCAGAGGCCGAGCTGACCGTCCGCGCCGCACACACGGCCCGGGCGCCCTCCCCTCGGATCGCTCCCAAGCCCCCGCCCCACGGGGACTCGCTCTCCTCCCCGCTTCGCTCCCCTCCGCGCCAACGTTTTGTTTTTTCAGTTATTGGAGGGAGCGGCCGGTTCTGGAGAGTCTGTTGCTGCCTGTCCGTGTGTTGTTTGGACGGTCGGTGGGTTGGTTGCTGGACTGGTTGGGAGGGTCACCTTTAGTGGGGCCAGGCGCGGGAGGGTCGCTACTTCAGCTTTGGACTCGAGGGAGCAGGGTCAAGCCCCGGTGTCCGCTGCAGAAATGCGGGCTTCTGCCCTTCCCGCTGCCCTTCTGGCCCTGCCCACTGAAACTTGTTTGTCTTCATGTAACTGGGATGTGAAGAGTTTCAATGTCTCCCTGTTGTGGGGAGAAGTACAAGTAAGATGCTGCCTTGGGTGTCTCAATCCAGGTTCAGTCCCCACTACCACTTGACGGCTGAGATCACTAGGAATGCTCTCGGATTCTAGGCTGGGTGCTATCGCCACATTAAAAAAAAAATGCAGTGAGTAGGATGCTTGTCTAGCACTCAACTGATCCGGGTTCAATCCCTGGCGTTCCATATGGTTTCCAAAGTCCACCAGGAGTGAGCCCTGAGCACTGCTGGGTGTGACTCAAAAATTAAAAAAATAAATAAATAAACACTTCCTTGGAAATTTGATTTAAAAACTTTAAGAACGTAATCCCATCAACGGCCAAGACTCAGAGATTATAAGATCCACCTCCCGGAACCGCGCGGCCGCAAATGCGGCCGTGACATCTTATCAGAACATCTTTTATAACATCTTATCATCTCATTCCTACTTTGGACAAACTTGCAGGCTATCAAATGTAGCCTGCCCACAGGGCAGAGTCTGGCAAACTCCCCGTGGCGTACCAAATATGCCAAATACCAGTAACAATGATGGGTCTCATTCTCCTAAAGAGCCTTGAATATAATCTCAGGGCTAGGATGAAAGAGAAGTTACTGGGGCCTGCTCGAGGCAATCGACGAATGAAAAAGAACGTAAAAGACATTGAGTTAAGTAATTTACAGGTTGTGTCTTGAAGTGTGTGAACCCCTAGGCCTTGTGATTTTGTGCCTGTGAAGTCCGTGTGTGATCCCTCCAAAGGTTTTCTTCACCAGAGGACCCCCAGAGCCTCCTTCTATGTCCCCTGCCCCCCCAAGCCCAGGTCCCCCTGTCACCCTCACCCAGACTTAGGCTGATTATGCCAGCCAGGCTCGCTGATTTGGAAATAGGCTCCTCCCAAATTGGGTGCGGGGAGATGAGACGGGACATAAGAGGCATCCCCAAGTTTAGGCTGAGGGACTTGTAGAGGACTTCTTATCAAGGTGTGCCTTCATCCAGGCCTGTCAGAACCTGGTCCCTGAGCTTTCTTCCCTGAAACAATGGGAAGGGGGGAAATTCATGGAAAAATGCCTCCAGGGGCCGTGCCCTGGTACAGCTCTTTTGAACTGTTCTATATTTCAAAAGAACACTATATAGTCGCTGCTCTGAGCAATCCCTCTGGGAGACTGAACCAGGGGTTGGGAGTCCAAAAGCCTGGAAGGGAAATGAGGACCTAAAATTATCCCCGAGGAAAAAGCACCAGGCTTGTCTCCCAGGGACCCAGCGGCAGCTTTTGCCCTGGTGTGGGATTTCTCAGTGGTTTCCAGCAAACGCCATGCACACCCAGGTAGACCTAAGTAGATCCTTAGGTTCTGGAAATGCCGAGTGGGGGATGGGCAGGGGGAGGCCGAGCCCCGGCCCCCTGCCCCAGTCGTGCAAGTGCACCACAGGCCCCACTTGGCCCTGGCTGGCCTTGGTCTTCTGCTCACCAGCAAGGAGGTCATGCCCAAGTCAAGTTTTGCAACACAGCCCAGTGCTGCCAGTTATCTCAAAGGGCTGTCAGAAGATTCTGGAAGAGGGAAAATACATGCCATTCAGCATTTCTGTCCAGGGCGCTGGAGTGGGGAAGGACAGGGGTGTCAGGAAGACAGTTATCTTCAAATGATGGTATTGTGTGTGTGTGTGGGGGGGGGGTTGAGAGGTTGAGGGGGGGTTGTGCTATGCCCAGGAAGAGTGTAAAAAAAAAGTGTCTACATTTTCAGAATTTTCAGAAATGGTCAGATTTCCCTGATTGGGTTTGGGGAGCAAAGAGACTCGTGAGCGTATAAGATTGAGAGTTCCAGGCCCCTGTGAGTGAGTGAGGGTTCGTCTACAGGAGCTGGGCTGAGCCACGCCTGGGCTGCTTCTGCTTCCGCCCCCCCCACCCCAGCCACCCTCCCCGCCAGTTCCCAGTCTGCCCCTCTACATCCCCCTGTTTTTGCCATGTCCATCTGTGGCATGATTCTTTTTTCAAGCTTTAAGGGTTTTTCATTTAAAATTTTTTATTCACATTATCAAAATATACAATTGTATGTCTGAGAGCCGTGCCTTCATGAGGGTTTCCCTCAGGCAGTGTCAGGGGTAAAACCCCGGCTCCTACATGCACAGCCATGCTTTAAGTCTCTTCCTGGCACTCATCTTTCAATAGAAGACCACCATTAGTCTCTTGAGTATCCTTGCAATGAAACATTAGATAGGAACCGGAACTGTAGTACAGAGGGTAGGGTATTGTATGCCTTGCATGCAGCCGACCTCATATGTTTCCCTGAACACTTCCAGGAGTAACTGCTGAATGCAGAGTCAGGAGTAATACCTGAGAATTGCCGAGTGTGACCCAAAAAAACCTATACATATGTGTATATATATGTATATATATGATAGACATTAGGTTTATATACATATGTACATGTATAAGTCCAATTCATTTGTCCCTACCTTCCCATGCAAATAACTGTCAAATATAGCCACTGTTCTGGGTCCAGAGAAAGTATAGCAGATAAAGCATCTGACTTGTCTATGACCATCCCAGGTTCAATCACTGACACCACTTACTCTGCAAGCCTTGCCAGGAGTGACCCCTGAGAACAGAGTCAGTAGTAAGCCCTGAGCACAGCCAGGTGTGACCCCAAAACAAAATAAAAATAGCCACTGTTCTTTTTGTACCTTATATTTTAACTTAGTAAGTTTTAACCCTCATCTTTTAAGACTAGTACACAAAAGATTCCCTTTTAATATCCATTGTATGGGTGTAATATAATCTATGAAGTCAATGGACATCTAATTACTCCTTTACTATTAAATAATCCTTGTTAATAGATAACATTTTGCATGTGTGTCATTTCACTCATTATGCATGTTTGTAGGTTAACTTTCTGCTTTTAAAAAACTGCTATTGGTACTGACTGGAGAGACAGGACAGTGGGCAAAGTACTTACCTTGACATGGGTTCGATCCCCAACACACCATATGGTCTCCTGGGCCATCCTGCAGGAGTGATCCCTGGGTACAGAGCCAGGAGTAAGCTCTGAGCACAACCGTGTAGGTCCAAATTCAGACACAAATTTAAAAATAACTGTTAAGTATGCTAAAATATGTATCCATATATTTATGAATTATAAAAATATTGACCAGCTCCCCTATGCCCAATCATTACCCCTCATCAGCATTTTGATGACTTAGGGGTTTAGGCAAGAGACCTGGGCTCTGGGGAGTCTCCTGATGACGGGCTTCGGGGAATTAGAACTGCCTGGTGCATAGAGGTCAGCCAAGTCTGGACAGGAGCATGTGCTGCCCTGAGAGAGAGTTAGTCTGCCCTGGGCCCCTAGATGACCTTTATTCTGTACCCTTGGAAGCAGGCAAGGAATGAGGGCCACTGAGTCTCCTGTTTAGACCTCAGGTTTTATCCCTGACACTGCCTGGTTTCCTGTGCACCTCCAGGTGTCGCCTCCCCCGATAAAAATAAACACAAGAGAAGAAAAGCCTGCATGAAGGCGAATGTTTTTTCTTTCTGTTTTTTTTTTGGGGGGGGAGGGGTCACACTCGGCGATGCTCAAGGATTACTCCTAGCTCTGCACTCAGAAATTACTCCTGAAAAAAAAATTACTCTTGGAGTGCTCAGGGGACTATATGGGCTGCCGGGGATAGATCCCGGGTCAGCCGTGTGCAAGGCAAACGCCTCCCCTGCTGACTCTCGCTCTGGCCCTTCAGGTGATTTTCTATGGCATACATTTTGTATATGTTGATAACGGCCAGGATCCAGAGATTATCACACTCAGCTCCCGGGAAAGAACAAGGCAGAGTCTTCTACCCTGTGCCTGACTGTCTCCACCAGGGCCCAACAGCTGAAGACCTCCGGGCCCCAGCCAAGGCCATGCTGGGACCACTCTCCACACACTTGGATGAGCCTCACGCATAAAAGAACTGGCAGAGGAACCCAGGTTGTGGGACCCGGGACTGAGATCTCCAAGCCTGCACGGTTTGGGACTGGACCTGACAGTAGCTAGACAGTTACACCCACCAACTGCCGTGTAACCCCAACAACGGCCAGGATCCAGAGATTATCACACTCAGCTCCCGGCCGCGCGACATCTTATCATCTCATTCCTACTTTGGACAAACTGGCAGAATGTAACCTGCCCACACGGCAGAGTCTGGCAAACTCCCCGTGGTATACCCAATATGCCAAATACCAGTAACAATGATGGGTCTCATTCTCCTAACCCTGAAAGAGCCTTGAATATGGCACTTTAAAAAAAAAATCTCAGGGCTAGGACGAAGGAGACGTTACTAGGGCCTGCTCGAGGCAATCGACGAACAACAGGATGGTCGTGATAAT